GATGTAGAGGAGACCTTCTGTCTGAACTTTGCAGTAAGTTGCTGGACACTAAACTAAATACGACCCCTCAAATTAGACCACGTCAAGTCAAGAGCGTTTGTCTGATTAGAGGAATATCACTGATAATTCATATTATGAAGAAAGTCACTGCTTTAGTAAATAAATTCAACTGAACCTGTCCTTGATATCACACACATGCTGCCAAGACGGTTATTTGATGTGTGCGCTTTTAATCTGGAAGATGAAGAGCGTTTGCTCATTGGCCATATGTCCCGTCAGCGTTTCCTGTTGGATGATGGAATGACATTCAACAGATGTTTTTTGGTTTATGATGTACAATTAGGGAAGGGCGATAAAAATAAAACAACTATATCTCAGTATTTTCCAAGTTTTAGCAATATTAGCTCTGAACTGGCTAATGAATTTGTTATTTTTATTATAATTTTATATTAAAATAAAAATTTATGTTTAATATTAAATTAATATATACATAACTATAGATATTTAATCATAATGTAACAATATAACAACACATGATAGTAAACAGTAATATTTACACTACATGTAAATTTAATCAAATATATTATTTTTAGTAATAACATTTTATATCATAATATAAACTAGAACTGATTTGTAGCTAATAGGACTTTCCAAATCAGTGTTTTGTTGTTAACTAAAACTGTGAAAAATAATTTTTGGTATTTGAAGAAAAAAGTAATTAATAAAATTACAAATATTAAATGTACAACTTGCATTAAAAAATAGAAATAAATGAAAATTTGACATGTTGCCTTGGTAAATTACTGAAATAAGTTGTTTACATTGAAGTACTAAAATGAATTGAAATAAAAATAAATTAAAGCTAAATAAACACATTTTGACCAAAACCGAATGACCAAAACTTACACTAAAATTTAAACGAAAACTGATCATGTAAAAAAAAAACAATTTAAAATATATATAAATAATATAATAGAATGTAAAAATACTGAAATAATGCTGTTCCAGATATATCTCAAATTTGACAAATGAACATATTAAAATATATCCATCCAAAACTGTTTTTGGGAAACTTAAATGTTCGAAATAACACTCTAATATTACTGTGATATTCACAATGTTGCTTTATTTAAAGAGATAGTTAACACAAAAATTTAAATGTAATTAATTTCCAAACCTGTGTGAATTTCTTTCTTCTGCTGAACACAAAAGAAGATATTTTGAAAGATGTAGGTTACCAAACAGTAGCTGTTTGGTTACCAACATCCTTCCAAATATCTTCTTTTGCTTTTAAAGGGGTCCTATTATGCTCTTTTACAAAGTCTTGATTTTGTTTTGGGGGTGTACTAGAACATGCTCTCATGCTTGGTGTATTTTAACATTATTAAAATAGCTTTCTCCCCAGCCTGGCACAAACGGCTCGATTAGTTCCGGCTTTGATGAAGGTCCGAAAACAAAATGTGTTGTGATTGGTTCGCTGTCCCAGTGCGTTGTGATTGGCGAACAGCTTAGACCGTGTTTCATTACTGCCACGCCCCTTCCTCCGTCTTTCAACAAAAACTTTGGGGTGAATTTTTTTAATGCACTTTACTCCCTCGTGTTGTGGAAGCTGTCCTCAGTAAAATGCGCAGCACACAATAGCAAATTGCTATTCGGCGCCCAGCTACATCGTGTTATACTTGTAAGAATTGTTCTAGACATGCTGAAAATTTGAGACTACAGCACAGCAGCTCTTCTTCTTGGTTTTCTCTGACGCACTAACTCTGCAGCAGCATTTCTTCTTCATCGTCTCGTCTGATGCACTCACTCAACCAAGTGTTCTAACCACAACCTCGCCCTCCCCACCCCCCAACCATTCGAATTTCTGTAGGCGGGAATTATTTGTAATGATATTCCAATGAGCCGCTTTGTGATATCACAAAGCCCGGAAACCAAACGCTGTAGTCCAAACGAGCCGTTCGTTGTAGTTCTTGAAAAGGGATTTAAAAAAAAACGAAATATCTCCCTTTGGAGTGGACTTTGAGATTTGTAACTTTCTAGATCTTTTTAATGCCCAAACATACACAGTACACACTGACTCAAATTAAAAAAGTGAAAAAGCATAATAGGACCCCTTTAACTGAAGAAAGAAATTCCTACAGGTTTTGAACAGCGTGCATGGAGATGTCAGAATTAGAATTATGTCAGAACTATCCCTTTAATAGCATCAACAACATTTTTGCATATATACTATAAATATTCAATACATCACCCAACCCTGTTTGAAATGTGAATCTGCACTTTTTAATATGTTTATCAGATATCTGTGCACAAATGTGGAATCGCGATTCTTTCCCTGTGGAATGTGTCGTCGATGTACTTACTGGGATGAAGGGAAAATTGTGTTCCTGAATGACAAAATGTAACAACTGTGACCACAGATTACGAGAGAGTATTACGGGATAACAGAGGTTAAAGAGCTGGTACAGGGCGGGAAGACCATCGCAGTGGACAAGACAAACAGGTGTGTGTGTCTCTTTAAATAAAGGTCTGAAAGAGGTCATGTTGTTCCTGCCTGTGCTCCATATTTCAGTGTCTGTGAGAGTGAGTGTGTGTGTTGTCAGTGGGGACAAAATTGCAAGGTTTCGGAAGCTGCAGGAACAGATGGGACAGCGCACAAATCCAAACAATCCAAAACACAAATCCAGACAAAAAATGATGTATGAAGAATTGTTGCTGCATTCAAGGTTACATTTCAGGAAAAACATTTAAGTGGAGATTGTATGGAAAGGAAAATGTTTTAAGAAAATGGTATTTGTTTGAAATATGCATGTGTGTTTTATTTGCGTGTCATGTTCTTGTCGTTATTGTGTGTTGTGTGTGTGTCCTGCTGTCTGACAGTAAGATTAGGCAGAGGGCCAGTCATCTTGAGCTCAGATCAAGGCCCGTTCTCTCTCACACACACACACACACACACACAAATCACGTTCTTCAGCAGACCTGATGCTGATATATGACCTCCTGAAGAGATTATAGCCCAGCTCAGATTATCCGTCTTAATTCACTGGGTCTGATGCACTCGTGCATGTAAATATGTGCACTGAATTACACTCATCTGATGCTTTATTGATCCTAAAGGGGAGATTTTAGTTCAACATTCAGTGGCATGTACAGTAAAATCATTGATAATATGAACTAATAATAGGTAAACTCTTCTGGGCAACTAACACAATGTTCTAACCAGATATGACAAGAATGGTAAAGAGCATGTCCTGTTCTAGATACAACCAAATCAATAGAAATGAAGCCTATTTTTAGGCCCACAAAATCAATTTTTTAAGACAATTCAGCAATCCATTCAAATTTAGTTTTGATCTTTCTTTTTTTTTTAATATATATATATAATATCTCATTTATTTCGGTGATTACATTAGATTCTTACTATTTGTGCAGTATTTTTAACTGCTTTTTTATTAATCTAATGGGAATTATTATTATATAACATTCATTATCTTTATCAAATGACTATAATACCATGATTTAGAAAAAAAACTATAATCAGCATAAAGGCATTACAACAGATACTACCATATATATATATATATATAAAATTATTTTGCATTAATGTAATGAGTGGGGTTTTGTTTACATTACAGTAATAAGAATTATTAATAATAAAAAAATGTGATTGTCATAAGAAGTCACAGATGCCTAGATGCATACAGTATATATAGCACTTGAATGTGTCTTTTTTTTTGTGTTGGTCTCTCAGGAAGGAGTTTGTTCAGGCGTATTTACAGTATGTGTTCAGTGATGCCGTACAGGAGCAGTATTCGGCCTTCTCCAGCGGTTTCCTGAAGGTCTGTGGCGGGGAGATTCTCTCTCTCTTCCAGCCCTCTGAGCTCATGGCCATGGTGGTGGGCAACAACAACTACAACTGGGAGGAGATGGAGAAGGTGGGACACGTTTCATACAGCTGTGCTTCACTATCTTAACAAGACTCAATGTTAATGCCTTGTGTTGCATCTCTTCTTTTTTTTCTCCCAGAATGCCTCCTACAAGGGCGAGTTCTCTGCATCACACCCAACAGTTAAGATGTTTTGGGAGGTGTTTCATGAGTTTCCCTTGGAGAAAAAGAAACAGTTTTTATGTAAGTGAGAGTCAGCATTGTAACGGATGGTACTATTGTATATATTATATAAAACTGTCTGAATATAAAGCTAGTGTGAAGACCTGTTCAAACCAAAAGAGAAATGAAAATGCAAAGCAAAACACAAACCTATTCATTCATTTATTTTGTGGAATGAAAATGAAATATATATTGTCCATATACTGCAGAGGAGAGTATGAAGAAATCCAAACACTGCTTAAAGTTTGCAAACAACCATAAAACAACTTACCTGCAGGTTTGGATGGATCCAATAGTAGCAGCTGTGCATAAGAGTTTGCTATGGCTCTTCTAAAAAAGATTTTTCTAAATTTGGTTTTGGCTGTAAAAATATTTTTTGATGCATTAGCATCAGCTGTTGCTCTTGACTATAAAACAGAGGCTTGGGACATGTGACCCTAGAGCTTAATTTATTGGTCAGTAAGGTTTTGTCCAATGTTGTTTTAATATTATTTATATTCTGTTACAGTTTTATTAATATTTTGAATTGTATCTATGTATTTTCAGTTTTAATTTTAATTCTAGTTACATTTTTAAACATTTTATGTTTGTCATTTGTATTAGTTTTTTTATATAACTATTTAGATTTAATTTTAGTTTTAGTTCAGTTTAGTTTTTATTAATTTCCAGTAATTTTAGTGCTTCAGCTTAAATGTATATCAGTTCGTTGCCATGGCAACATTTCTCACTTTTTTATATATTTATATATAAGATATGTATTTAATTTGATTATTTATCGTTTTTGCTTCAGTTAATGATAATAACCTTGGTTTTGTCACCATATGAAGAAAAATAAGTATTTGTAGGTCATTTTTATAGGGCTATCAAAAAATAAAATGGCTATGATATAAAATTATAAATACATAACTTAATGTGCTGTCACGTTTACCATTGCTCATTGTAAAAATCTAGTCATTTTAAAAGGAATTCACACAATCGGGAATTTCACATAAGGGAGAAACATTCCCCCACGCAGATTTTGCACCAACACCAAGTTTTTCACAGAAGGCTGCTTGCTTTGATATGCTGCAGGGTTGCCAGGTCTGCAAAACAAAACCAGCCCAACTGTTTAAAACTAGCCCAATCACGTTTTTCCCCGGGGGTTGGTGGTCGCCTCAGTCGAAATCGAGTTCTGGAGGGTGGGGATCGCTTTAACCCGCCGACTAAAAAACAATCTGGCAACGGTGTAAAAGTAGCCCAGTTCTGATTTGGCAACACTGATATGCTGTGACTTCTGTGTAAGTGGTGCTTTGCGCATAAATACACCATTGGACTATGGACCTTTTTTGTACTAATGCAACTTTGCCTTTACAACGCAGACCAAATAAGTGCTTTTGCCTTCCCGCAGTGTTTTTGACAGGCAGTGACCGCATCCCCATCCACGGCATGGCCAGTCTACGCATCGTCATCCAATCCACTGCTGCGGAAGAGCACTACCTTCCTGTGGCCCACACCTGCTATAACATGCTGGACATGCCCTGCTACCAGACCAAAGAGACTCTGCGGCACCGGCTCACGCAAGCCGTGGAGCAGTACGAGGGCTTCAGTCTGGTCTGAGCGGGATCTGCAGAGGTTGCTTTCTGTATGCTGACACTGCACTTTAAACCTGTGGAGAACTGGAAATGAATGATGCTCTCGCATTTATTTTACCACAGACGAGCACATCCTGAGTCTTGTATGAGTAAATCTATTATTTTCTTAATCTTACTGACAGACTCTGGCTTGTTTGGTTGAATCTTGAGATGTGCACCGTTTTTTTGTTTGTTTACTTTTTATTTTTTATTTTTTAAATATATTTTTTAAATGACACAAATAAATTATAAGATTAGGATTGAGTTGTTGGCAAAATAAATTAATTCGACATTCTTTATATATTTTGTAAATTTAATTATTTTTGAATCAGATTTTAAAACCGATAGGTTGCTCTTGTCTAGACCACGTTATTTTACTAGGGGTGTCCAGACCTGTTCCTGAAGGGCCACTGTCCTGCAGTGTTTAGCGCCAACCCTAATTTAACACACCTGAACCAGCTAATCAAGATCTTTGGCTCGACTAGAAGCTTCCAGGCAAGTGTGTTGGAACTGGTTGGAATGAAACTCAACTCTTCTCCAAGAGCAAGCTTGTACACCGCAGTCATTTTGCCAGTTTGAATTTCTGGAAGGAAGTAAACAAATTTAAAAAAAATTTACTCGTTAAAGCATATGAAACGCCCACTAAATGCTCATTATTGACTTTCAGTTTTAATTTTAATTCTAGTTACATTTTTAAACATTTTATGTTTGTCATTTGTATTAGTTTTTTTATATAACTATTTAGATTTAATTTTAGTTTTAGTTCAGTTTAGTTTTTATTAATTTCCAGTAATTTTAGTGCTTCAGCTTAAATGTATATCAGTTCGTTGCCATGGCAACATTTCTCACTTTTTTATATATTTATATATAAGATATGTATTTAATTTGATTATTTATCGTTTTTGCTTCAGTTAATGATAATAACCTTGGTTTTGTCACCATATGAAGAAAAATAAGTATTTGTAGGTCATTTTTATAGGGCTATCAAAAAATAAAATGGCTATGATATAAAATTATAAATACATAACTTAATGTGCTGTCACGTTTACCATTGCTCATTGTAAAAATCTAGTCATTTTAAAAGGAATTCACACAATCGGGAATTTCACATAAGGGAGAAACATTCCCCCACGCAGATTTTGCACCAACACCAAGTTTTTCACAGAAGGCTGCTTGCTTTGATATGCTGCAGGGTTGCCAGGTCTGCAAAACAAAACCAGCCCAACTGTTTAAAACTAGCCCAATCACGTTTTTCCCCGGGGGTTGGTGGTCGCCTCAGTCGAAATCGAGTTCTGGAGGGTGGGGATCGCTTTAACCCGCCGACTAAAAAACAATCTGGCAACGGTGTAAAAGTAGCCCAGTTCTGATTTGGCAACACTGATATGCTGTGACTTCTGTGTAAGTGGTGCTTTGCGCATAAATACACCATTGGACTATGGACCTTTTTTGTACTAATGCAACTTTGCCTTTACAACGCAGACCAAATAAGTGCTTTTGCCTTCCCGCAGTGTTTTTGACAGGCAGTGACCGCATCCCCATCCACGGCATGGCCAGTCTACGCATCGTCATCCAATCCACTGCTGCGGAAGAGCACTACCTTCCTGTGGCCCACACCTGCTATAACATGCTGGACATGCCCTGCTACCAGACCAAAGAGACTCTGCGGCACCGGCTCACGCAAGCCGTGGAGCAGTACGAGGGCTTCAGTCTGGTCTGAGCGGGATCTGCAGAGGTTGCTTTCTGTATGCTGACACTGCACTTTAAACCTGTGGAGAACTGGAAATGAATGATGCTCTCGCATTTATTTTACCACAGACGAGCACATCCTGAGTCTTGTATGAGTAAATCTATTATTTTCTTAATCTTACTGACAGACTCTGGCTTGTTTGGTTGAATCTTGAGATGTGCACCGTTTTTTTGTTTGTTTACTTTTTATTTTTTATTTTTTAAATATATTTTTTAAATGACACAAATAAATTATAAGATTAGGATTGAGTTGTTGGCAAAATAAATTAATTCGACATTCTTTATATATTTTGTAAATTTAATTATTTTTGAATCAGATTTTAAAACCGATAGGTTGCTCTTGTCTAGACCACGTTATTTTACTAGGGGTGTCCAGACCTGTTCCTGAAGGGCCACTGTCCTGCAGTGTTTAGCGCCAACCCTAATTTAACACACCTGAACCAGCTAATCAAGATCTTTGGCTCGACTAGAAGCTTCCAGGCAAGTGTGTTGGAACTGGTTGGAATGAAACTCAACTCTTCTCCAAGAGCAAGTTTGTACACCGCAGTCATTTTGCCAGTTTGAATTTCTGGAAGGAAGTAAACAAATTTTTAAAAAATTTACTCGTTAAAGCATATGAAACGCCCACTAAATGCTCATTATTGACCATAGATGAGTAGTTAATCCCATTCAGAAAGAGCCATCGCAACCCTACAAATTGGGGGCTCGGCCGGGATAAAGAGGTAACAGCCCAATCAGCACAGTACACGGAACAGACCATTTCAGGCCCAATACATTTGGGATGTCTAATCCTGATCCTGGAGGCCCAATGTCCTGCAAAGTTTAGCTCCAATTTATCCCAACACACCTTCCTGGAAGATTCATGTAATCCTGAATACCTTGATTACATTTGGTTCAGGTGTGTTGAATTAGTGTTGGTGCTAAACTCTGCAGGACAGTGGCCCTCCAGGAATAGGATTGGACACTCCTGCAACACATTAAAGGGTTTAATTCGACAAATAATCTTTGTTTCCCAGCTTCACCAGTTCAGTCCATGCTCATATAGGACATTATGCATTTTCGCACATTCTGAATCCATTCCACTGGTTTTCCTTTTGTGTACAGTAGCAAGCCATTGGCATAAAAATGTATCTTATTAATGATTGGCATGCATGAGCATGCCATGTCCAGGGTGAGCGCCGAAGCAGCTTTTTAAAAAATATTTTAATTAACCATGTGGTAAAAGATCTGATATTTCTCTTAAAGTGACATTGGTTGAGATTTCATTGAGGAACAAATCCAGCAATAACTACTGGTTGATGTACGTGTACTAGTTATGGGATTTTAATTATGTTTTAATCCAACAAATGTGAATATTCTAACAGCTGTGTTCTTCCGGTCAATCCATTGCCGCTTTCAATTTAATCCCTCCGTTTGTTTCACAGGAAGGTCATATGCTGTAAAGGGGATTTGCTTTCTACTCGCATTTTCTTTCTGAGTGGAGCATTAATGTTGGGTTGTTATTGAAAATGGATCAGAGTGACTTACCTTTGTGGTTTTCAGATATGGTGGATGATAGAGGACTGTTAGGACCATGGTGAGGTGTCTGCTGTGGCCTGTTGTTTTGCATCTAGCTGCATGAGATGTATTTGTTTGTACTTGATGGAAGGTCATATAAAGAAGTGTTTCTATCCAACTTATTCCTTTCTGTCAATGTATACAAACAAGGGCTTCTTAGTGGCTACTGATGCATTATTTTAGTAAAGTATATTTACTTTTATAGCTTTCAAATGGAATATATTGTTTTATCTATTTTTTTCCAGAACAATAAAATTATTTCACCTCAGAGTATTATCAAACTTCATGGCATTTTCTTGCACTAAATGACATCGAAATGAATACCCAACACCAGTATATTCAGAAAAAATAGTTTTTTTTTTATATATATATATACAAAATACAAATACAATCATGTACTAAAATGTACACACAGTATTCATCTTTAGCCATCAGCCTAGTCACGTTCTGTAAAAACAAAGGTCGCACTACAATTTTCCAATCTGGAGAATAAGAGAAGGTGGTGATGTGCTCACTCTGTTTGTATCTGCATTTACGAGGCGCAAATGCTCAGTGAGGCCCCACAGTTTTGTTTTCTATTGCTCGCTAACAATAGAGATGGTTTTAAAGTGGATTCAATCCACCCACGTCACTGTTAAACAGTGAGCTTCATTTGATGACCAGTTAGACACTGGAGTACAAAAAACACTACAAAAATAACAATGAAAGCTGAATTATAGTACCACTGTTTGTGCGTTTCTACACCAAATAGAAAATGGCAACAGATTTCTTTTTTCTTACGGTTGTTCATTTGCACTTTTTTTTTTTCTTTTGTAAAGTAAACTCTAGCTTAGTCACTGGTCTTAGTGGAGGGAGAACGAGATTTGATTAACGATGAACATGTTCAAATAATACATTTTCTCAGAAGCATTAATGTTCAAAATAAAGAATTATGGCACCAGTAAATAATTAAAAATAATATACAGAGAGCCTTCCTTCCACAAATCGGTTACCTTCTTCAAATCATCAAATACGAAAAGTTGCTATAATGATAAACTCTCCTCATCTCTAAGTATATACACCGATGATTTAAGACGCATTATCTCAATGTTCTTCAAAGCTTATGTCTGATTGTGAAAACACAGTTGTTTCTATATTACAGCAATATTAATATAGAAAAAAAGCTAAAAATCTGTATAATACAACACAAAATATAACGGAAACATTCTTCTGGGCTTCAAAGGGAATTAAGATCAGAGATTCACAAGTAATCCGATTGTATTCTGAAATCCACGGTCTCATAGCGGACACAAGTCCTTTTTGCTGTACAGTGGAACAAACAGCACTGTACATCTGGTGAACCAGGTAAGTCTTGGCGTCCTTCAAACCCAAATGTGCCTGTAATGAGTCGATAACAAAGAGGAACATGTCTTTGTACACACTATATATTGCTTTGAAAAGCAGTGGCTGGTCCTTATTTGGCTAGTAGAGTAAATCCCAGCTGAGCACTAGATGAACTTAGAGGAGTCTCTTTTACTGATGAGCACTTCCAACAGCCGTAGCTTGGCTTTAATGTGCTTGTATTCATTGTATTCTCCAGCCAAGGGTGAGCGATCTTCCTTTTGCACGTTTCTATGGGAACAGCAAAAGTAGAGCATTCAGTTATAAGATGTTGTGTCTCTCTGTTTAGACCGATTCAAGCTTAAGAAAATGTACAATTCTAAGAACAAACGTGCACACGAAAATGCATTTTGAGGAAGATTCCGTTACCTGCCGTTCTGTTTGAAGAACTGATCCTCAAAATCCCGGAGGTTTTTGCGGATTCTTTTCTTTTCTTCACGGGCTTCCTGGAGTTGCTCCACAAGTTCCTGCCTGTGTGTTTGGTTAGGAAGGAGTGGAAGGTTTTAGGATTCTTTCAAACCACCGCAGCAACAATGCAATCATTTGAGGTTTCAATGGTTTGTACACAATACTGAATATTTCGCTTTTTTAAACTTACAAATTACTTTTAGCCTATTGTATATTTGGCCTTGTAGCTCCACAAAAGATGGATTGTGAACACATAAAAAGAGGAAGGTCTGTAGGGCTGCTTACACACTAGAATTGTACGTCTGAGAACATCGCAAATTCTTTGATTTCAAAGGGTTAGAAAAAGTTTTGCTACATCGCACATCCAAAGGTTGAGAACAATTTACACCTTTATTTTACCAGGGCTGCGTTTCCAAAACAGTAATCTTAAGCATAAATGGATTGTAGAATCCATTGGCACCAATGGTCTCAACGATCTACTTGGGTTTACAACGCTTTTGGGGAACAGCCCAGGTTAGTCCCTTTTTTGAAAGAGACCTGGTCATTATGGTGTGTGTATACTAAAAGCAAATTTAATTATTTGCAAGAGTAGATTACATACAAAGTCAATGCAAAGACGCGAATTGGGCAACAGAATTTCCGCGAACACGTAATATTTGCCTCAATCGCGTCTTCCGCGCGAGTTGAAAAATTTCAACTCCAGCAGGAAATTTGCACGATGTGTTGTCGCGCAAGCCAATCAGCAAAGAGCTTATTGACACGTCCGGTTGTATCAGGAAAAACAATGCTTTTATTCATGCGAGTGTTGCGAAAAACATCCCGCAAGTAACGTAGAGCGATAATGCAATGCGAATATTTGCTTCACTCTTGGTGTTTTTCAAAAATCTGGCATATTCCTACTTGATTCAGACTTTTTCCACATCCTCAAAACACTCCGTTCAAGCATTATCTTGTGTGTCAGTGCCCTAAGACATGGGTTTTCGTCTCTAAACCTTATACTTACATGGTTGCAGCATGCAAATTGGACAATCTCATGTCAGTGGTGTTCTTGGAGGGCGAGAGTTCATCAACAGGCGAGATGAAACCATCTGTGTCCTCATCCAGCTGGTCGAGAAGTCCCAGCGTGCTCAGTTCCGGCTTAACCGTGACCGTGAACTGTGTCCTGGTGTCGTTGTCATCGTCCGAGCCGTCCTCCTCCTCCTGGAAAAGAGCAGATGGTGCTGGTTAGCTCGACTGCAGCTTAACTTCGAGAGTTTGCACTAGCATGACTGAGCAGTATCAAGCGTAACATTCATTTAGAAGGCAATTTTTTTGCTACATCGCACATCCAAAGGTTGAGAACAATTTACACCTTTATTTTACCAGGGCTGCGTTTCCAAAAAAGTCATCTTAAGCATAAATGGATTGTCGAATCCATTGGCACCAATGGTCTCAACGATCTACTTGGGTTTACAATGCTTTTGGGGAACAGCCCAGGTTAGTCCCTTTTTTGAAAGAGACCTGGTCATTATGGTGTGAGAGACTTTTTCCACATCCTCAAAACACTCCGTTCAAGCATTATCTTGTGTGTCAGTGCCCTAAGACATGGGTTTTCGTCTCTAAACCTTATACTTACATGGTTGCAGCATGCAAATTGGACAATCTCATGTCAGTAGTGTTCTTGGAGGGCGAGAATTCATCAACAGGCGAGATGAAACCATCTGTGTCCTCATCCAGCTGGTCGAGAAGTCCCAGCATGCTCAGTTCCGGCTTAACCGTGACCGTGAACTGTGTCCTGGTGTCGTTGTCATCGTCCGAGCCGTCCTCCTCCTCCTGGAAAAGAGCAGATGGTGCTGGTTAGCTCGACTGCAGCTTAACTTCGAGAGTTTGCACTAGCATGACTGAGCAGTATCAAGCGTAACATTCATTTAGAAGGCAAGTCTCATTGGCATCAAGCTTCTGTCGTGATAAGCGTTAGTACAAATGAAAAGCATCAGTGCTCCAGCAGTGCAGTAAATTATATTCATTCCAACTGGAGCATTTAGTGCACTGCCTTACACGAGTTACCGATTCGAGTTTTTCTTTAATATAAAACCCAATAGGGGTGTGATCAAAAGGCAAAGGAATCAGCAGGAGTCGAATCTCACAGCACTCCCATGCAGTTACTGATTCATGATTAGGTTAATGAGGAAACTAGTGGGGAGAAGGAGGTGGGTCAGCCGAATCACTGGTTGGTTGAGCAGTAGCAGCTCTTCACCTTGGTGTCGCTGAAGAATAGGGCTGGTACACCCTCGATAATGGGCTGCAGCAGGGGGCCTCTGCGCTTGCTGGAAGGCGAGCCCTGTGGTGGTGTTAATAGTGACATTACAACCCGGTAAACTACACATCAGCCCACTCAGGGCAGGACTCACTACTGGACTATAAGGTTTATGTTACATAAACCTTGAAATCTAAAGAAATAGTTTTAGCGCAGAGGTCTTCAACCCATCTCCTGGAGACCCTGTTCTACAAGGTTTAGCTTCAGCCCTAATCAAACACTCCAGAACAAGTTAATCGAGGTTTTCAGGATGACTTGATGACCAGACAGGTGTGTTGGAGCAAGTTGGAACTACACTTAGCAGGATAGTGGATCTCCAGGACTATTGAAGACCTATGTTTTAGGGCAGTGTTTCCCAGCCCTGGTCCTGGAGACCCTCCAACATTGCAAGTTCTCTTTTATCTGAAACACACATTTGAGGTCTTGGAGTCTTTACTAATGAGCTGATGGGTTGAATCAGGTGTGCTTGATTAGAAAACATCTGAAATGTGCAGTGTTGGGGGTTCTCTAGGACCAGGATTGAGAGTGACTGTTTTAGGGCATATGGTTCTGCTAAATTGAGAACCCAAACTGATGCTAATCAAAAATTTACCTGGAGCAGCATATTATTAACTAAACAATGGAGAAGCTACAGCTAAAATACAATTTATGAGTGCGCACAGAAGTTCAACCAAATATAATCAAGCTTTCAAGTATTATATAATGGTAATATCCATTTTGCGTTACATAATCCGGAACAAACCAGAATAATATTTGCATGCACTTGGGATGTTTTTTGTTGTTGTATTTCACATACCTATCATAATATATTAAGCAGAGGGAAACACTGTATCAGCGGTATGGGAATATGACCAGGGTGGCTGTTTAATGCTAAGTGTTAAGAGACTTATGAATTATAAAGAATACTGTTGCAAATATCCAGCTACAGGATATGACCTCAGCGAGGTACTCTTGAGCTCTTGCTAAAGACAGGCTTATAGACGCTAACAAGCCCCAGCACTGCCACCACATCAATACTGCCTCTAAATGCTTATATTGTGCTACTGCTAATGCTATTTCCTCTACTAATACTGTGGAGATTTATCCATACGGTTTAGTTCAAGAATAAAGTAGAAATGGCAGCTAGCTAGCTTTTAATACTATAACACTAGCTTTTGCATGTTTGCTAACGTGGCTCGGATAAGTATTAGGTGCCTACAACTGCCTACATGGGCAGCAACTCTGTCATGGAAGTGACTGATTTGGAACGCTCTACATAGGCAGCAAACTCAACAGGCTATGTTAGCATGTTACTAAGCTGACCACACTCAAATATGAATATACAGCGTACGCACAAGTATTAGGTAACATAACCAATGTATTTTTTATTAATACTTTATAATACTGAATGAAATTTATCTCGCTTAGTCAGCCATCTTGCCCCTTCTAAAACGAACCATGGTTTTACTATAGTAAAAGTGCAGTAACCATGTTTTTTTGGAGGGAGTATAGATCACTATTTGTGTAACAACAGTTCTACTACAAATACCATGGTTAAACTATGATTAGTGTAGCAAAACTATGGTTAATTTGTGGTTACCATGGTTTAACTGTAGTAACCATTGTTTTCTTTGGTTTTATTTGTAGTAAAACCATGGTTAACTTTCTTAAGGGTGCTGCATTGCATTCTGGAATTACCTTATTCTGTGAAGGAATTATGCTGGCTTAAATATGGCCCAAAAAGATGTATCTTAGAAGGCAGAATAATAAAGTTGCCTATCTTTTGCAACAGCCTTCAACATTGGGAGTGCATGTATCTCACTAGGTTTTGAAACACAGGAATTGGAACTGTAAACCAGGGGTGTTAAGTTCTGCTCCTTGAGGGCCAATGTCCTGCAGAGTTTGGCTCCAAACTATCCCAAAACACCTGCCTGGAAGTTTTCAAGTAATCCCGAAGACCTGGCTAGTTCAGGTGGGTTTGATTAAGACTGGAGCTAAACTCTGAAGGATAGTGGCCCTCCAGAAGCAGGATTGGACACTCCTGCTGTATATTAACTCCTACTTGAACGATTTCTCTAGGAAATGGGGAAACTGAAATCGGAGACAAGGATACAATGGAGAGGGAAAGCAAGAAAAATGTTGGAAAAACAGAACTTACAATGACTGGAATGGCAGACGCTCTGCAGAGGATCTGTTTGATGAGTCGGTACCGATCGTATAGAGGCTTCATGACCTGCCTCTCGTTCTTGGTGATCTAGAAAGGATGACAGAAAGAGAGACATTGAAATCAACCTCGACTTAAGTTCTTAACCTTCAGAAGGTGAACTTATTGCACTTTTTTGAAGAATTGCATACTCACTGGTCTCCCGTGGATGCTCTCATAATATAATAGAGCTTTCTGAAGGGCCACTTTTTCTGCTCCTATCTGCTCACGGGTCATGTCCTAAAGAAGAACAAAGGATGAAATTTTAAAGATTCATGCATTTGTTTATAATAAAAATGGTCAAATGGAGAACAAAAATCTTTGAAATCGCACCTTAACGTCTTCAGGTCGGCCAGCCTCCTTGCGTTTCTCCTGCAGTTTGTCCATAACTGCCTCTAGCGTGCTCTCCACAGGGGGTTTGGGGGCTTTGGTCTCAGTGGGTTTCTTCTCCAGCTGAGATCCAAAGCTCTTGGGAAGAGTGTTGCTGCGCTGGCGGGGGATGGGCGTCAAATCCTCTTCTGACTTTAGCAACTTGTGATCTGTGAAGCCAGAACATGGAGCCACTTGTTTATAAGAACCTTGCAAGCCATGAGCCGAGCAGATTAGATCAGGGGTTGTTTTCCTGGTAGGCCCAACCCACAACGGTTAGTGAGAAACAACACCAGAGACATTTTGTTCAAACAAAATATTATAAAGGTTGGATTAGCATGGCTTATGTGATTCAAATCACTTTCATAATTCATACCTTTTAAATCTTTGCGCATCTTGGCCAGTTCATTCATCCACCGCAGAACCTCTGGATTGGCGGCTTTGTCGCTGTGTGAAGGCTGTAGAGAAAACACTAAACTCAGTATCTGTAGCAAATCCAGCTAAATACATTTTGCTTTGATCTTTTGCATTGGTGCATATAGTAAACAGAAAATGTTTAAAAAGTAGACTGCTTCATTGATTATAATGCGATCAGTTTATCAGTGCAGTCATTGTAGGTTGTTTAGTCCTCGCAAAAGTGGGTCATGCAATCAGATGCATCTCGATTGCTCACCCTGTATTTATGCTCCTCCTCAAACTTCTCCTCAAACCTCCTGATCTTCTTCTTGAGTACGTGGATCCGCTTTGAAAGCTGGGCTGAAGTGAGCTCTTCCCGGTCATCGTCGCAGGAGCCTAATGATGAACTTCTTCGCCTACTGAATGAAGAACATCATTAATTTCACATACTGTATTTAATCTTCAGGACCACATAAGAGTGTTGTTTTACCTGACAAAGGAGTGGGCATTGGGTGGAGATGGAGGAACCTCAGTGTCATCCAGATACTGTTGGCCATCTCCATAAGCGTAGAACCGCGGTGAGACCATTGGGTTGCTGTCCTCCTCCAGGAGCTGTCGAATCAGCTTGCCACCGGCGTGAGGTGACAGACGAGCTTCTTCGCGGTCCATACTCTCCCTTTGCCACGACGAGTAGGACGGGACTGGTTCTGTCAACACGCAAACATGCGTGTGTTAATATGGAGGGAAATAACAAAGCAGCGTGTCTGGATTTTAGCAAGTCACCCAGTAAGTAGCAAGCCAAACAGGGAAGAACTGGCAACAAGACATCCAACTAGGTAGATTTAGTCTTTGTTGATATAGCCAAATGTTTCGGTACATATTACATTTTAACTAGGCTGATACTCTATTAACCTTGATGCTATTTCTGGCATCCTTGAGGTCGGCTGTTATAGCCAAAACCACAAATAAATTGTGCCATATGCCATGGCCAGGTTATTACTCAAACATAGTGAGCACATGCTGTAATATGCTGAACGTTTTGTTTATTTATTATGCAGATGCCGTGACTGTAAAGAAAGGTCAGGACAATTTAATGATGCATCCAGAAGAATGTTGCGATAAACGCAGAATGCAAAGTGACCTGTGGAACTGGCATGCATGAAGGATAAAACTCGATCTTATCTGTTGTTATAAAGTTGATATTGGTGTATTTACAGCGCTGAAGTGCAAGTAAAACCTTGCACAAGGCAACGTTCATTAGGACAAACAATAAAACAATGTGTCTACTACAACAACTTTTTTTATTGATGTACCAACTGAGCTCTAAAAGAACAATACATTACGCGTCAATAGTTTATGGGGCTTGATGAGAAAATACACTAGATTTGTAATTTTTTTTAAGAGAAGAATGGAGTCCTTCTCTCATCATTTCAGTCCATGCACACTCACTCAAACACAACATGCTTTCCAAAATGCTGTGCAACAATCTGGTAGAGCCTGAATTCCCACAGCTTCTTTGCACTTTTTGTACTGTGTCATGTGCTTGTTACAGTCATGCTCGAGAAGCTAATGGGTCAGGTGGACCTCTCCCTAATGGCGCATTTGGAGCCATTTTGTTGAGCCGGCACAATACATCCAAGCATGTGGTACAAGATGGCCTTTCACTAAAAGACTCACAAAAAGTCTCAGTAGGCCATTGCGGACATAAATAAAGGCACATATTACTGTGCCTGTCCTCAGGTTGTTAGATGCTAGGTGGGTACATGCCAGTTTGGGGTGTTTTATGGGATTTCCATGCAGCGTTTAAAGGTCAATGGTGAGAGATGGGGCTCAGGGATATCAAGTTGTTAACAAAAGCAGATCTCAGCCCTTACCCTCATTGTGACTTGATTTTAAAAGGCTTTTAAAGTCAAGGAAAGGGGCACTAAAGAAGTGAGAATCTGAAAGACAAAAGGAAAGAGAGGCAAGTGAGATAACAGCCCAAGGAAAAGGTTTTACTCAAGAGAACGAGACGGGCAGAAATGCAGCGAGTGATATATAATATTGTGGAAATCACAGCTGACAAACAGATGGGCAAACCGCTGCCTCTTGGCACCGCAGTGGGTCACTGCAATGTGCTTTGGCACAGGCCGCAGTGGGACAAAGGTCTGGCAGCTCAACATTACATACCGTCCTGAACGCTCATTTGACCACTCCCATGAGTTGGAGCAACTGTTTGCTTTTAGTGCAACTGTATTTTACAGTCGCGTGAGCTCCTTTAAAGCAACCATATGCTTCCAAAAACATTTTAGCTTGTATAATCGTTTATACTTTTCATCTGTGGTTTTGTTCCGCTTAGCATAATAAACTTAACTGCTACAATTTGTAGAATGTAACATGCACACAGCCTTTGCTTTAAAGCTTTTATTTGTATAAAGCTTTCTACCACACATCGCTGATATATTTCATCATGATATCTGTGATTAAGCAGCATAACAAACATAATTGCTAGGATTTGTCGAATATAACTAGGTTAAGTGCAGACAACTATTCAAATTACTGATTTGTGTAGCTCTCCTCAAAATGCTGTTCTAAAATTATCTTTTGTTTTTCTAAGCTTAACGAACTAAATTTCTGTGATTTGTGGCATATAACTAGGCAAACATGCACTACGGCACTTTGACTACCCCCAAAATAATTACATTTTTTATTTATTCGAAAGCGCTTTTCACAATAAATATTGTCCCACAGCTATCTTTTTCATCATGTTATCTGTAATTAAGTTGCTCCACTAAGCACAACAAACATAATTGCTAGGATTTGCGCAAAACTATTCAAATTACTGATTTGCGTAGCACTTTTCAAAATAAATATTGTTCCTTTTTCATCTTAAGTCATTCTATTTAGCATAACAAACTAAATCGCTATGAAATGCAGCATAAAAACTGGAAAAATGTGCCCCAAAATGAAGCAGTTTATTTCTTTTTATTACACAGCTCTGTGGAATACTTGATCCTGATTGGTCAATCACGCCATCCAGCGGTATGTTATTCCCAGATAACAACCGCCAAATTGAATAACACACCGCTCATCCGGGTACTAGGAGTTATCTTGATTGGTGCTACTTATATGCTTAACGAGTCACTCCGCTATCGTTGACTGTCTGGCGTCATCTTGTGACTGAAAACACTTAACCACCGCGTGTTACAATGGAAAACTTCAGCATTCATTTCAACATATATGGTAAAAACAAATCTTTTTAGCCGTGTAATAAGCGCTTCGCGTCGGGGTCCTGATCACCCTGTTGGGGTTTATTCCGAGATAACAACCGGCTGGATGTACATTATCCCTTACGTAAAGCACACCAAAACTCAAATTTTTCATCATGTTATCTGTGATTGCATAGCATACCAAACTTTATTGCAAAGATCTGTGTATAACTATGCAAAAAGCACACTGAACGGCCTTAAAATGATTACAAATTCAGAATTCTATTTTATTCACTAGTATAGCACTTTACACAATACATATTCCAAACTAAAATGCAATGGGGGAAAAACCCCTTAGAAACTCTTCAAAACCATTTCTAAACACAAGGCAACAGAACAGTGCCTAGAGGAAATATCTCACGTCGCACTCCCAGGAATGTCTCTGTGAAGACCTTGCAAAGCCACAGGGCGATGTTTTGACCATCTTAGTGTAAGTGTCAAGCGAGAAATGTCATTGTGTACGCAGCTGTGTGAAGCTCTCAGTAGAGGGTGCCATAGAGCAAGTCCATGCTACAGTATAGCGACTCTGCCAAGGCTGTGACCACAATATTAAGCACTACATTAAAGTAAAGGGTAACTGTGAATCAACATGGCAACCCTCTCAGCACAGCAGGGCTGCTCCACATGCTATGTGCAATTCACGGTCTTGGGTGTATCCGTGCCAGACCTCCTTAAACACTGAGACTGTATACTACAAATATTCCAAGGTCATGGTGAAAAGGGGTGTGTTTGCGCATGTTTGTGCAAGTCTACAACTGGCACATGCTGCACGAACTGAAGAGGAAACAGGAAGGGAGACTATTGTACATAGCCATGACAATTTTTAAAGGCTGAGACGTGACGTGCACGTAGCAACAGCTCCCAGACGCCTGGATTTAAACCTGTTTCACTTCTCATTATAAGGCCCTCCACTTGTAAAGCTACACGTCTGCTTGTTTCTAGTCCCAACACTGAAGATGACAAATGCTGTGAATCCTAAACTTGACTGAAATGCAACAGCTGTGAAAATGCATCAAATCAATGATAAAATCCATTTTATTCAGATGCATCTGCTCAGTGACGTTATGTGTGCTGCTTGCATAAAACATGGTGCTATACACCGATATTAATATTAATGATATTAATGTTAAAAAAAGATAAGCAAAATGAGTAAAAAAAAAGTGCTGTAATCTATATGTATTAATCTATACACTAAAATGAATTTAAATACTATATATAAATTAATGTTTTAAAAAAAGACAAGTAAAACGAAAACAAAAAGTGCTGTAATCTTATATGTATTAATCTATACACTAAAATTAATTTAAATTCTATATATAAATTAATGTTTTAAAAAAAAGACAAGTAAAATGAAAACAAAAAGTGCTGTAATCTATATTTAGTAATCTATACACTGAAATTAGATGACATGAACAATAAATAAACAATAATATGCTAGAATCTACATAAAAATATTTTATACATTAAAATTAAATAACTTATTTTATCTTAAAGAATATGATGAATAAACAAATAAGAGCCACAATATAATTCATTTATCTATACAGTAAAATGTAAAAAACCTATACACATACATATATATTTTAGCAAGCTATACATTAAATCATAATAAAAACTTTTATGTCTCTCTCTCTATATATAAATATATATATACACACACAAACACACTCAGGCATTTAAATTAAAATGAATATTCTAAACAAAAAACGTATTCATTATTATTATAATATTATATATTTATTCATCTATACACTAAAAATATAGTATTTAGTATAATATATATATTTAATTTTATCTCATAATAATGTGCTATAATCTATATTTATAAAATAAGTTATGCATTAAAATCAAATAACTTTTTATCTTAACGAATATGATGAATAAACAAAAAAGCACAAATATGCAATCAATAGCCTCTCTAGTGTTTACAAACACAAGATTATGGCTAAAGGGGAAGTGTGGGGAGGGGAAAAAACAAGCAACTGCAAGAACCGCAGATGAATCCAGTGCAAACTCAATAAATCCCGGAGGCATTCGAGTCAAAATTCTCAAGGGACATCTCAGGGCTTTGAAGCACCAAGCTGTGGCTCCAACCTCAATATTTACAACAAACATGCAGAGAAAAATGCATCGATAGCATTGCAAAATAAGCCTCTTTCGACTAAACATAACACCGTATGCAGAACATGAGGAGGAAAACAGCTTGCAGACTGCTTCTAATCGTCTTCCTCTGTTAAATTATTTAATAAGATCCACTGCATGAGGACACAATGTGGGCAAGGCAGACTTGCAGCTGCCGCCCATGTGCAGAGAGAGAGAGAGAGAGACAAATAAAAAATATATTAAAAAAACCACTGACCTGCCCAGTTATTGTCGTCCGTCAGAGTAGACAGGTCCAGTCGAGGGACATCGTCACATGGCTCTGCGGCACTAAGAGCCTCCTGGATCTTCATGGCAGGCGTCTAGCAGTGAAAAGAGCAAAGCATAAACACCAACTACACTAGAGTGGGGGCAGTGCGCTTCTTAAGCTGAGCAATAACCTTGCCTGCGCCTGCTCCCATCTACTTACAGGCTGGGAGGAGGCAGGGGGGCGGCGCTGCGGGACAAACCCCTGCCTGCTGATTGGCTGCCTGCCCTGCTCAAACCCCACCCACCTTCCTTTCAGGGTAGGTGTGGCTAATTTTATGTTCTTTTCTCTCTCTCCACCCCTCCCTTTCTCTGTGTGTCCCAGAGAGAGAGAGAGAGAGAGAGGGAACATGCAGAGCATGCAAAACACGCAGGCAGAAATGCCTTCCCGATTTCTCACTTTAGCATTTCCGAAACTCTTCCCTCTCTTTTAATATTGAACAATCACGCAGGAGGGGCCGTGTGGGTGCAGACAGATGTAATCCAGATAAATGTGCAACTCTGCCACTCGCACAAACACACACTTGCATGGGACAAGGTCTATTTTTGGAGCGGAGGGGGGCCTTTTCCTCACTACATGCCCCGCATTACTGACAGCATGACTGAAAGTCCCGTTTACCGATATATTACGGCAGACGGAGCTTACTCATGCTAATGCAACTGGATTTGAAGCGCACTTGTGCCATTGTAGACGTGCTATTTGTGGCATTGTGATTTTCATAACATGCTCATCATGGTCCATAATTGCAACACTGCTGATATTGTGTAAATCCAAACATGGGAACAGGACTTGTGCATGGCTGTGCAAAATGCCCCTGCCAGCCTGCCAAGAGATGTGATTTTATTACCACTAGAACAGATAAGGAATGGCATGGGAAACATACAGTCCAGACTTCCTGTATGTCAAGATCTGTGAATATCTGTTTGACTTCACATACAAATGTGACCCTGGACCACAAAACCAGTCATAAGGGTCCATTTTTTTAGATAATCTGAAAGCCGAATAAATAAGATTTCATTGATGTATGATTTATTAGGATAGTACAATATTTGATCGAGATACAACTATTTGAAAATCTGGAATCTGAAGGCGCAAAAAAAATCACCTTTAAATCACCTTTAAAGTTGTCCAAATGAAGTTCTTAGCAATGCATATTACTAATCAAAAATTAAGTTTTGATATATTTAAGGTAGGGAATTTATTAAATATCTTAATGGAACATGATCTTTACTTAATATCCCAATGATTTTTGGCATAAAATAAATATCTATAATTTTGACCCATACACTGTATTGTTGGCTATTGCTACAAAATATACCTTGTGCATGGCTGTGCAAAATGCCCCTGCCAGCCTGCCAAGAGATGTGATTTTATTACCACTAGAACAGATAAGGAATGGCATGGGAAACATACAGTCCAGACTTCCTGTATGTCAAGATCTGTGAATATCTGTTTGACTTCACATACAAATGTGACCCTGGACCACAAAACCAGTCATAAGGGTCCATTTTTTAGATAATCTGAAAGCCGAATAAATAAGATTTCATTGATGTATGATTTATTAGGATAGTACAATATTTGATCGAGATACAACTATTTGAAAATCTAGAATCTGAAGGCGCAAAAAAATCACCTTTAAATCACCTTTAAAGTTGTCCAAATGAAGTTCTTAGCAATGCATATTACTAATCAAAAATTAAGTTTTGATATATTTAAGGTAGGGAATTTATTAAATATCTTCATGGAACATGATCTTTACTTAATATCCCAAAGATTTTTGGCATAAAATAAATATCTATAATTTTGACCCATACACTGTATTGTTGGCTATTGCTACAAAATATACCCCAGCGACTTATGGTCACAAATAAGTCTCACTGCACAAATACACACTTCAATACACAGTTCACACGCAGTCCAACTGCTCTCTTAAATCAAGGGCGTGCTTACAACAGGAACGTAAACTTAATGTATATACAACGTCTGCATGCTTTCACTGAAACTATGACGTAAACAACTTTAAATGGTGGAAGTCAGTTGACTTAGATCAACAGGCTTTCGGTAGATTTACAGCTTTCACATGATGTTTGGCCCAGAAAAACATTGCCTAAAATCTCTCCAATCAAGGGCAATCAACAGTAAACAATTCATCAGATAATCTTCTTGTCATCACCTGTTCATGACGCGATTAAAGAGGTGACAACTAATGAGATTATTTTGCTGATTACTGATGAGATTTGAGTTATTATGGACATAAATATTTAAATCTAGGAATCTCATCATATCCAGAGATGCCAAAACAGCAGTAATCTGGTCTAGAAACTCAAACTGAGGGCTATGAAAAGCCGAGAAGCAACGTTTTTGTTGAAAGAAAGTTGGAGGGGAAATAATAAGTTGCGCATGAAAAAAATCAAATCAAATCGCATCCTTAAAGGACACTACGATTAAATTAAAGGTACTAAAAAAAAATCTTAACATTGTGGTTAACTGATAAAGCTCTGCATATTAGTAAAGGATTGTGCTTTTCAACACGTTCACAGAAAAGAAGACTAATCAGCTGCCACTATCAAATACGTGAGGAGCTCTTATACCACAATGCACTGCATACGTGTCACAGCTGGGTACAACATGTTCTGACTGTTAGAGCGCATGAAGGAGTGAGATCTGAGATGACACACCGATTCAACATGTATTTGACATCACAATGAGCGCGGATCAAGCTTGGCTTAACAAAACCAATATTCCTAAATCTGTATGTTTTTAGGAGAACATTACAAACGTCTTTGGAAGATGAAGAGAAAGGAAACTGAAATGTTTGATCTCTAGATTATTTAGACTGTATCATTTTACAGACTAAACCACTGATGCAGAAACATTTTGGACGTTCACGACTATATCAACTCTTTCAATGACCCTCAAACTATTTGTAAAAATGTATGAATGTCATTGCATCAGTTTAACAAACCGAGTGACATTCATGTTAAAGAACAATATCACAAGCACACGTTAAGCCAAACATTACATTTCAAGATGTTAGTTTTAAAATCACACAGCAATGCCATAGAGCCATTTTTGGTTCCCCAAAGAACCTTTCACTGATCAATTTTTATAAGAAACATTTTTTTCTTAGTGTTAAGAACATTTTAAGAATCTGAAGAACCTTTTTCCACTATATGAAGAACATTTTGTGGAATATGGAAAGATTCCATGGATGTCACAGGTTCTTCATGGAACTATCAATGCCAATAAAGAACCTTTATTTTTAAGAGTGTGTTTTTACATTGATATTACATATAATGCAATAAAATTATAATTTAAGTGTCCAAATATTTTTTGGGCCACTGTATATCAGTTTTTTGGAGGACAACCAATGATGTGCAACATAAGTGCCACAGCCCTTGGTCTGAACATGCAGGTAGACGACTAAAGCAGAAGGTCCATTGGCACGCTGACATTAAACGGTACCAGAGCCCAGATGGCCTGACAGCAGGGGTAAGAGTATAGGTGGTGGTCCAACAAATCCAGGATGTTCTCACAGTAACACCAACAGACTGTTTGGATACATTTCAGATGCTCTTCTAATCCCTTTATCCAGAGATCTGTTCATGTATTTCAATGTTGACATGTATCAAACATAACAGATGATCAAATGACACAAGCTGAAAGATTTGGTACAGCTGTCTATTTGGTGTCCTTCCTGCAGGTGTCCTCTCATCTGAAATAAGTCACTGCAGACTCAACTATGTTGTTCATCTACATTTTTTCTTTAAAAAAAACAAGGCTTTGATTACAAGAATTTGTCACAGTAAATCTGTCACTGTGAACAGTACACAAATGTAAGAACAGAAAATTAAGAGAAAATTTAACAGAAAATAAGATGAAGGCAAGAAATGTGATACAGGAAAAAGAAATTGAACTAAACTTACCTGAACAGAATGCAGGCCGTTGTCCTTTTGATGGTTCCTCCTGAAAACAAGAGAATTCATTAGTGATATTATAAAAGAATCACAAAACTATTCATGCTAAAAATGCACAGCTCAAACTTTAAAGATGTTGTTTTTTTTAAACATGGTTTCAAATTCTGATAGCCTTCAGAATACAATGTGCAGAGCTGTAGGTGCTACACACAACCAGAAACAGCACAAGAGTTGACCCTCACAGATCTACTCTTACATTCATTCTTCTGGTGTTTAGGAATAACAGTATCTGTTCTATTTCCTCCATCATTTATGACAACTAAATAAGTGTTGCACAGTAAATGTGGGCAATTATATTGTAATGTTTTCAGATTTCTGATGTCAGGGCTCTGTTTTACAAGCATAGTTTGAACAGGTGGTCTTTTTGAACCAGGGAGAAAGTTTTGAGGGCAAGTTAATTCTACTTCCCAACATATACAGCATTGCAGATAATGAATTTAGAGGGTCTAAATACCTGTAATCAGCTGACACCATATCAGGTCCTTGGCATTCCATTGGCTAGATTTCAAAGAAAAACAACACATGTATCTTCTTAATATGTTAATAGGAGGATAAAGAAATAAAAGTTTTTCAGAACAGCAAGCTGAAAAAAGTGTGTGAATTAGGGCTGTGCAAGTAATCGAAAAACTATTTCGATTTCGGCCTTCAACGATTATGAAAACACAATAATCGGGATAAAACGATTATTACGACCCCATTCCGCCCCCTTTCCAGCGCTGCGCTTTCGTTCCTCCATAAAAGCCCAATTTCACGTGCAAATCAGTAAAATCATGTAACGTATCTTTTGCAAAATGGGACGTGCTTGATTTATATAAGTATATTTATTATTCATGTTTTTAAAAACGTGAAAGAGAACTTGCGCTGCACCTCAGGATATGCGCTCAGAGATGGAACAGAACATGGACATGTAAAGTCATCTTTTAGCTCAAGGTGCACGCCTAAACGGTCAAATACACGCAAAAATGTGTCAAAATGCGGCGCTTAGTGATTATTCATGTACACCTTCGTCGGTCATGTAATAAATTAACGTAAAGAGTTGAGAATGAAAATACGCATGTAATGGTAAATTGGATCCGTGCGGCTCTTAAAATGACAGCGGGCTATTTTCCTGCTTGTGACTGTGTGCTTGATATTAATCAAACAACAAAACACAAATTCAAAATCACACACTGCTCTTGAGTGAAGGACTTTTGTAGCTTTAATAAGAAACAAAAAAAGTTTAATTCTTATTGTGAAGACTATGCTGTTGTATTTTACATTTGATTATTAATTTCTGTAGTAGGCTGTAAACTGCTTGAGACTTGCATAAAAAAATATTAAAGCACAGTTTGTTTCATTTGTATCTTTTTATTCTATTGTATTTGTCCTTTGCTTTTTCATTAATGACAGTTTAATTATTTTCAATAATTTTTAGGACTTTATGTTTGAAATTCCGCAGGTCTCTACGATTTAGATCTCATAGCAACCTTATTTACAGGAAATATATATTTGATATGCATCACTATCTTTAAATAAATCACTCCAAAATAATGGAGTGGCCAAAATAATCGTGATTATGATTTTTGCCATAATCGAGCAGCCCTAGTGTGAATGTCCTATACTATTACCTAGTTGCAAGTTTACAGCAATCAAAGTGATACACAATTTAACCAGTCAGAATCTACCAATTGTAACTTCCAATATCTACAGTCTAGGCAATGAAGTGAATTTTAAGTAAATATAATGTTCACTTAAATTCAACAATATACAGTAGGGTCCAATGTTTTCATTATAAAATCTAGGAGAAAAACAGTTTCAGTGAAATGTAGATTTAAAAACAAATGTAAACTTCAGAATTTCTTAGCATTTAAAATTGAACATGTTTGCTTTAATTTTAGGTTTACTCTAAGTTACTTAAAAAAAAAAAAAGTGGTGGCAGATTTTTGTCTGCATTACAAACTATATATCTAATTATATTGGTCATCTGCCATTAAAAAACCCATATTGGTCAACCACAAGTTGACTAAGAGATGTTTTAGTAAAACCGAGACATTACCAAAACATCTGTAATGGTGTCTAATGCACGTCACTGTGGTGTACCAATAAATAAATGCTTTGAACACTGTGGTCTGATCAGCTGAGGTGAATCCAGAATCCAAACCCACACCTAACAGCATAAACATGAGTCAGCGAGAGATCCTCGTCAAAACACTGTTCCGATAAAAGCAAGCCCCGCAATTTACCTCTGATTTTCCACAGAGATGCATTATGTGCTGTCTCCCATGAACAAGGACAAGAAGGATTTGAAGATAATTAGCTGTACCTGTCACTGTTTACTACCATGTATTATTTCATGGGGTTTTTATAGTTCTTGATGATATTCTGTTGCCATTGACATTGAGAAAATAAAAGGAATAGTTCACCCAAAAATTATAATTCAAGAAAAATTAATGTCATTCCAAACCTGTATGACTTCTCCTCTTTTGTGAGTCACACAAGAAAGTATTTTGAAGAACTGTTTTTGTCCATATAATGAAAGTCAGTGGGGGCCAAAACAACACTGGACCCAATGACTTGCATTGTTCGGTCCCAAAATTAAATAAATAAATAGCATTGTAATAGTAATAACATTGTAAATTAACATGAACATTCACAAATGCTGTAAAAATTTGATGCTTGTTGCAAATTCATGATACTGTGCCGAACGCATTGAATAAAAATACAAATGTACCTTGTAAAGTGTTACCTAAGAAAAAGGCATCATAATTCAATACATTTCTAAAACGTTTTATCATTAGTTAATGCATTGAGAATTAGACTTCTTTAATATTGGTTAATTCCATAAACAAATACATTTTTATAAATTATGTGTTTAATGGTACATTAACAAATATGATAATATGGTAAATTAACGTGAACCTACATTAACAAATGCTACATTAACAAATGAAAAGTTCATGATACTGTACTGAATGCATTGACTAATGATAACAATTTACCTTATTATACACCGTGTTACCCAATGAATATATTTATTTTTAGGGTCAGAAGTTAATAAATGTATGTGTTTTAACATTAGTTCATGTATTAGGTACCGTGAACTAGAATTTATTGGTAACACTTTATTTTAAGGTGTCCTTGTTACACGTTACATGTGCTTACTATTATAATAACAATAAATTATGCATAATTACATGCAAGTAACCCTAAGCCAAACCCTAATCCTAACCATATAGTAAGTACTAGGGCTGTGCAATATATCGAAATATCGCAAATGTACATATCGCAATATGCATATCGCTACAGCATGCAATATTTGGGAACAATGAACAAAAGACAAAGAGAAAATCACTCACTGCTCTTACCTAAATAACTTTTGTAGCTTAAATAAGAATCAGTGCATATTGAATTCAAAAAGTAAATATAAGCAGTGTTTTATTTTTCCTTTTTATAATTCAGTTCCTAAACTCGTTCAAATTATTACACTAATGTTAAAATGACATTTGTAATGCTCGAGTAAAACACATACCGTTCACATTCAGAAGTTGTTGTAAGGGTGCTTTCTTATTAGAATCAGAATCAGAATGAGCTTTATTCACCCCTTAAGTGTGCGCAAATACAAGGAATTTGTTGTGGTTTTACAGGAACTCTTGGTACATACATACATACAAATAACCATATATATATGACACAAGATAGTTATAGAAGTTCACAGAACTGACTCAGCAACAGCTGAGTAAAACCGTTTCATCTGAGCATGTGGCACTTTAAGCATTATCGTATCGCATATCGAATATCGCATTATTTAATGAGTTATCGCATATCGCATTTTTCTTCAATATCGCACAGCTCTAGTAAGTACATGTAGTTAAATAATATTACTCCGTACTTAAATGTATAATTACACTGCAACAAGGACACCTTAAAATAAAGTGTAACCAATTTATCATTATTGGTTAATTACATATACTAATACATTTTTTACATTTCAAGTTGTATAAATATTATAAAGCATTACCCAAGAAATTGGTATTTAAAACACTATTTGGATACAATCCAAGTGGTTTTTACTATGGCGTTATGTGGTTGTTGGGCTGTTGCTAAGTGGTTGCTTACTGGCCCAAGTCAAAAGAACTAATTTTTTGGTCCACCATACAAAAAATGTATGCATATTGCTTCATTTCTGAAGCATAAAAACTGCAGGACGAGTTGAAGCTGGGTTTGTTGAAATCTCTCCCACTTAGTATAAGCACTAGTAATAGTGATGTTTGCAGGAAGAAAAAGAGAAGGCCATGGAGATAAGCCTAAAAAGCAGACTTACGGTGGAGGCGTCCTGGTTGTCTGAGTGCTCGGTCAGTGTGGGACTGTGTTTGGGCTTCCTGATTCTCTGACCCTCGTGTGGTGGCAGCAGCAGACGCCCGTCACCCTCCTCTGTGACCCTCACACTCGGAGACGGGACGTTCTCTTTATCACCCTCGACCCTGAGAAAGACACAGGTTTGCTTTCAGACACCACAGAATGAACACGTGATGAGGCGAGGACTTTCTGTGCTTGCCCTTTACTCAAGGGATCAACTCTTAAGAGCGGAGCAGAAATGAAGCTGTCCCGGTGATACCTCATCTGACTGTTTATTTACATCTGTCTCTTGAGTTGGATCAGTGTGTGTCACACAGCACAACTGCTGAGCCACTAATCTAATGTTTTCTGTGTCTCTGTGGATAGTTTGCTCAGAGTTCCTGTCGACAGGATTAGTTAGATCGCTCGGAGATCCAGCCAGCAAGCAATGACCCAAGCTGGAATGGATCATTACTAATCCACATGTTTTATCAAATCACTGTAATAATATAGGATTAACTAAATACTTTTGCTAGGTTACAATTAGTGATAGGTCAAATATACAGTAACAGTAGTTTAGCTAGACTGGCTGGTCTGCAGCTATTTGGCCATTTTAAGATTTTTAGCAATTATCTGATTTCCATAACCCCCAGTGCCAGCTGTAGAAAGTTGGACATCCTTGTTGGTGGACAACGCACCAAAATTAAAAAAAACTATTTTTTTTTGTATGTTTTAATATTATAGTTAATAATTAATAGTAAAATACATGGTAAATGTAACTTGTTAATTATATTATCAATGTTTAAAACAGCTGTGCTGTTTAATATTTTTTGTAAAAACTATGATATATTTAAGGATTCTCTGATGAATAGAAAATTCAAAAGAACAGCATTTAGTTGAAAATATAAATCTTCCGTAACATTATAGATGTCTTTACTGTAACTTTTGACCAATTTAATTCATCCTTGCTGAATAAAAGCATTAAAAAATCCTAGGTTTTGAATACTTAGTTACTTATATACTTATAGTATATATAGTTATTCTAGTTAATTCAGTGTGTTTCTCGGTCGTTCAGGTTTATTCAGATCAAGAATCAAAAGACTTGCTAATTATTGCAGGAGTCGCTGTGGAGATCAGCATCACAGATGTCAACTGCAGCGAAACTGCCAACCTAAGTTGATTAAACTGTTTTTGATGATTGCAAAAACATCTTGAGCAACCGAGAAACATGAAACATTGACTAGAAGAAGTTCACTGGACATTCTGTAATGACCTGATTAACTGGTTGCACGGACAAGCTACGATGCCATTTGGCTGCAGTTGCACCCGAGCAAAGAGAGCCCAAAAATAGCTGTATTTCAGGAGAAACCTGCTCCTTACCTGAAGTTCTCCTCTTGTTCTCGCAGATGTCTCCTCCTCGCTCGGGCTGTCGTCACAGGAGATGAAGAGTGGGCAGTCGGCCGCAAGCCCTCTGAACTCTGACCTGTGGGCATGTGTGAGTTGAAGAGGTGTTGCTCGACCGCTGAGCGAATGGTCTTCTCCAGAAAACTGGACAGAGAGAGAGAGAAAGACATGTCAACGGTCAAACGATGATTACTTTAACTACATGAACAATGGAACTCTTCTGGCTATTCAGAAGACTGACTAATCATTTATTAAAATAATTTAATTGTCATATAAGGCTCTGTATAATTGCTTACTTTGTTAATTCAAGTCTGCAGTGTCCGGGAGAGATCTGTGAACTAAAGAAAGAGAAAAACAAAGAAGAGAGATTATACGGAATTATTAAGTTGAGCATCAATTGCATCCAATTGTATCCAATGAGAAACACATAACCTTTCTTAAGTCGCTGGGGTATATTTGTAGCAATAGCCAAAAATACAGTGTACGGGTCAAAATTATCGATTTTTCTTTTATGCCAAAAATCATTAGGATATTAAGTAAAGATCATGTTCCATGCAGATATTTTGTCAATTTCTTACCGTAAATATATCAAAACTTAATTTTTGATTAGTAATATGCATTGCTAAGAACTTCATTTGGACAACTTTAAAGGTGATTTTCTCAATATTTAGATTTTTTTTTTGCACCCTTAGATTCCAGATTTTCAAATAGTTGTATCTCAGCCAAATATTGTCCTATCATAACAAACCATACATCAATGGAAAGCTTATTTATTTCGCTTTCAGATAATGTAAAATTTACTGGTTTTGTGGTCCAGGGTCACATATATGGTCACACTTAAGTTTAGGGACCAATTCTCACTATTAACTAACGATTAACTACAACTTTTGCCTCAATAAACTCCTAATTTGCAGCTAATTAATAGTAAGGTAATTGTTAAATTTAGGTATGGGGTGGATTAAGGGATCTAAAATATGGTCATACAGAATAAGGCATTATTATGTGCTTTATAAGTACTAATAAACAGCAAATATGCTAGTAATATGCATGTTCATTAGCAATCAATAGTGAGAATTGGCCCTTAAAATAAAGCATTACCATATAAACTACATATATTTTCATCCATTATGGTTCAATCTTCCAGTCAACTCAGTGTGTTTTAATTTGCTGTGAAAGGACAATGACATCAAAAGACTTGCTAATTGTTCTAGGATTGGTTTAATAACAAAACTTTGCACTAAAAAAAGATGCTCTGGGTCCAAATATAGCATAAATATCACAAAGAAAATGTCTGAATCTTTTTCCTTCCAGTCTACAATTGATTTTGGACCCCTAAAGTGAGTATTGCATTTGAGTCTGTTTCTAGGGAGCTACTTCAATATATTTTTGTGCTAATGTTGTTTTTCTTTTGATGTAAAATATCATTATGTTCTGCTCTGAAATCACTGTCACTGAAGCCCAAAAATCTTTGGTTTAGTGACCCCAACCGACCATCCAAATCAGAGAAACAAATACGATTTACCACAAAAATAAAAAAGTTAAATACTCATAGATTGGAAAGCTAGTTCCAGAAAATGACTCCACAGTAAAAATAGCGGCATTATCTTTTGGATCCGGAAATAGGATGAGGGTCCAGACACAACAGTTGTGTCCTTACCAGCAGCACTTTCAGGGTCAGAGCCAGTTAACTGCTCACAGCTGACTACTCGCTATTTAAACACCATGAGCAAACTATTTTCTGCGGTATCAAAAGGAATGATCAGTAGATGTAAGCATAGATGGTATCAAAGGCTACCAAGAAAAGGCCAGTGAGAACAGTTATGCATTGAGACGGAGGACTAAAGATGATTTGATGAGGTTTGTCGGTCTTACATAACGCAGCGGTCATACGGTGCACTCCAAGGGTGAGGATGACGAGACCTGAATGCTGGACTGAGTACAAGCTGGCACTAAAAACCGCTAGTCTGTTAACCTAATCCTTCCATACCATCATCTTCCAAATCTAGTTCACAGCAGTCGGCGAAACAGGGAATCAAACTAGCGATGATTAAAAAGGCCAGAATCAAAGATATACTTGCTACCTAAAATAATAACAAATAAAAACATGACAAACTTATTAAAAAAAAAAAAAAAAAAAAAAATAAATAAAAATTAATATATAATTTAATT